GGGTCTCGATCCGCGGGCTCAGGCAATCCACTCACCTCGGCCTCCCAAAGGCGCAGGATTATAGGCTGAGCCACTGAGTCCGGCTCTTGACTGCTTTTTAAAAAAATAATGGACTGATTATTTCACATTAAAGTATACAATTCAGTTGATTTTAGCATGTTCACAGAGTTGGGTAACTATCATCACAATCCGTTTTTGAACACCTTCATCATCCCACATAGAAACACCACACTCGCTAGCAATCACTGCCCATCCACGCCCCACTCCTCCAGACCTAGGCGATCACGAATGTATTTATCTCCCTACTGACTAGCCTGTTCTAGACTTGTGGTATAACTAGAAATATATAACATGGAGCTTTCTGCTACTGGCTTCTTTCACTGGACATCATGCTTTTGAGTTTCATCCATGTCGTAGCATGTTTTAATACTTTATCCCTTTTTCCTTTTATGGTTGAATAATATTCTACTGTGATGGATAGATCACATTTTGTTTATTAGTTCAGCAGTTGGTGGGCGTTTATTTTCACTTTTTGACCACCAAGAATGATTAATGCTGCTAAGAAGATGGGGGTGCAGGTTTTTCTGGAGATACATTTTTTCATTCTTCTTGGGGATCTACCTAGGAGTAGAACTGCTGAGTCATATGGTAGCTCTATGTCTAAACTTTTGAGAAACTGCCAGACAGCTTTCCAAACTTACACCATTTTACATTACAATCAACAGAGTCTAAGTGTTCTCATTTATCTATATCCTCACCAGCACTTGTCATTTATCTGGTTTTTAAAATTATATTTATACCAATGGTATAAGTAGTGACATAGTATTTTATTGTGGTTTTGATTTTCATGTCTCTGAAGGCTAATGATTTTGAACACCTTTCATGTGCTTATTGGCTGTTTGTATATATTCTTTGGATGAATGTATACTCAGATCTTTCACCCATTTTTAAAATAAGGCCATTTGCCTTCTTCTTATTATGTGTGTGCCTCTTTACATTACCTCAAGATAGGATTCTTGCATGGAAATATCTAAATAGTTTTAAGGCTCTTTATACTTATTACCAAGTTGTTTCTAGAAGAGTTATATAAATTTACACTTCCATCTTTAACAGTGATTCTCAACTGGGGAGTTATTTTGTCCCCCAGAACATATTTTGCTATGTCTGGAGACATTTATGGCTTCCACCTCACAGGGAAGGAGAATGTTGCTGCCATCTCTCATTGGTAGAGGCCAGGGGTGTTTCTAGACATCCTGCAATGCACAGGATGGTCCCTT